CAGACCTAGGAAAGCAATCTAAATATTGCGTAAGTGTAGGGAACCGTGTGAGAAAACAACGGCTTTTGTGTGGAACTGACCCATAGGTTAGAAAAGGAGGCAGAGTCCTGAGCCAATTGTCACATGGGAGGTGCAAATGAATGTTCACCTTCTACGTGGTGAAATTTTTGGGAAGAAGATGGGGGACGTAAATGGCTTGTAACAAGTGATACAATATAGAGTTGGCCTGTACTTGCCATTTCTTCTGACATGCTGATTAGCCATGACTTGTTCTGTTTTGCCAACATAAGTCAAGTCATAGTACATAGACAGTACTTTATTCCAGTAAAGGTTTTTTGATTGGATTTTTTTTTGTTTGTTTGTTTTGGTGGGGGTTTTTGTTTGTTTGTTTGTTTGTTTGGTGTTTTTTGGGGGTTGGGTTGTTTTTGAAGGGGGGAGGCGTGTGTGGTATAAACAATACCAACATTAGGATTTTGGGGGAGGTTATTTGGAACCACACAGGCAAGTCAAAGGTGTACAGAAGGTCTCAGTGACAGAGCCACTGTTTCTGATTTAACAATTCAGACTACTCTAATTCTGCAGCAGGCTGGATTAAATTATTCCAGCTGGCCGGATGCTTCTCATAGGCTGTCTATCTGACAGTCTTGCTTCTAAAAATATCAGAAGTTGGATTTGCAACACTGATCTCTCTGATAAGTAATCCTTTACTATCACTAGAAGTTCCCCACTCACATAGAATATGCCTGCAGTTAAAGAAACTGCAGTAGTCAAAGGCTAGTATTTCAGAATTTCCAGCCTCCCCCTTTGATTCCCATTTTCTTGTATTTTATTTGGTTTTGTCAGTGGCTTTTAGCAGCAGCGAAAGTAAATCTCAGTTCCAAACTGTGTGTATAGCTTGCAATATGTGTTCATTTATCCAGATACTATTCTGGCTTTCATTTTACTTCTTATGTAGTGGATGAAATCATTGTGTTTATAATCTCTGTCAATGGGTTTTTGAAAGGTGACTTGGTGGGCAGAGAAGAAGAAATCTATTTTTTTTGTGTGTTGTGGACTGGTGTCTTGTTTGAAAGTCTCCAGCTATTGAGTTTGTTGCATAACCCCAAATAATTAAGCTCCTTGACTTTCTGCCTTTACATTGATAAGGCTACTACAACACATAGCCATAAAGTGGTTGGAGGCCTCCTGCAGCACATTTTTCATTTTTCCGCTTAGGAAAAAAATTGGTATGGATTTTTATGACTTTGCCACATGGTAAAGTTAAAGGGTCCCTTTTTCAACGTGAATCTTTTGGAGGCTGTTACCTTTTTATTTTAACAAGGTAGACAGTGCCTGAACAACAGAACTCTGGTAAATTCTGCTGTATTTTGCACTGCTGCTGTCTGAAGGGAAGATGGTCTTTCTCATTAAATGATATGGACTCTGAAGCATTAAAAACCGTTTTGCATAGAGACGTTAGGCAGCAGACACGAGTGACTGGTGTCTTAGTTGGGGTCTTTGCTTGAGCCAAGTTTTTCTTTTAATCATTATAATTCGGTAGGATGCTTATGCAAAGAGTAGGGAATTAAACACACTCAAGTATGTATCAGAGGGACAAGTAAATGCTCGATTTATTTAGTTAAGCATTCCAAAGCCTTCCTTTCTTTCCATGTTAGCAGTGCCAAACATATTGATGATAATCTGATACACAGTTTTAAAGCCCTTATACTCAAACTATTTAAGCATTAGTTCAGTTATTCTGCCTACTGAAGTGATAATTAGGGGCTAAAAGGTAACCAGATTATTGTAGAGATCTCTCTTGACAGCCTTTAACACCTAGTTAAATGTTAAAGCCTGGAAATTACAAGCCTCTCAGTATCATTCAGACCACAGTATATTTTGAAGCAATTTGCTATTTCTAGATTGTTTTTCATGCCACGGTACCATTCCAGTGCTCTCCAGCTTGCTCTGAGTACCTGCCCACTCGCAGAACATCTTCACTGGGCAAAAAAAGTCCCTAAGAACAAAATTCTTGCTTAGTATGGATGTTAGGTGGGATTTCCAGATGTGTAAAGAACATTGCAGCTGGTTCAAGATATATTGGGGCTGTTTAAAAGCTTCTGCCTCCTCTGCACTTGGATTTAATTTAGGTCTGTTTCAGCCAATGTAATAGTTTGCCAGTGCTGTGAGGGAGAGGTACTGCACTCTCCCCTGCCCTCTCCCCAGGTTCCCCTTCTCTCTCCGCAATGTGCTGACTTTAACAGGCATTGGAGACCTCAGTGAAAATGAGGGGACAGATATGGATGGGAGTGGAGGGAAGGAGGAGTAGGAATAATCTGACTGTGATCTACTGGCATGGATCACACTTCTTGGGTAACTTCATTCTTAGGAATTGTTTCCCCAGCAAAACAGAGGTTTTAGTAAAACCCATAGCGGGTTTGTCCAACACAAATAAGAACAGCAGTAACAAGGCAGCATCATGGGAGTTAGCGTGCAATTAGCAGTCAAACAGTGTAATCCTGCAATGATTTTTCTCTGGTTGCCTACACCTGCTAAAGCCAAAGCCAGCAAATATTCATTGTTATTCTTACCTGCACTAGCTTAATCAAACTAATGCGCTTACGCAGTTATATTTCTTCGCCCCATCTCCTCAGACAGCGTTATCCAGTGCAGAAGTGAATAGTAATTAGCAGCAAGTCTTAAAAGCATACGTTACATTTCGAAGACGTGTACTCTATCATAAAGTCAGCTAGCTTGTTTACAGTTTTCTTACTATAGTTGCTAGGAGCTGTAGACATTACATCTTCCAGTGCTGAGAGCTTATCAAAACTCACTTACATATATATAGACAGCACTTGTACGGGTGGATGTATATTCTAAGAACACCATCAGCTGCTGTCCTTCACTGAAAATTTGCAGCCATGCTATTCAGCCTGATTGATTTGAATCTGTGCTTGTACTTTGAAAACAGTACATGTTCTGTAAGTAAGACTTGACTGTGCAGATGTAGGTTCAAATTAGTAATTAATACTTGACCTTATTGGAACTTACCTGTCCAGCTGCCCAAACCAGCTATCTGAAAGTGTGAAAAACACTTCCTCAAAGGACAGAATTCATCTCACTATCTGAAAAGGAGGCCTGTAGTCTAAGCTACTTGGCCTGTTGTTCGTCTCTGCTCTGTTGTCAAGGGAGATGCACCTCCACAGAGTGATTTGTCCTGTCCCAAGAGATGCATCTCTGGCTGTCAGGAATGATCATCCTCTGAAGATGCTAATCTCTTTCTATTCGCTGCAGGAGGAATTCAGATAACTAGATGAATCCTGCATATGCTGTGGATCCAGCTGCGCATGACTGACTGACTAACAGTGGTTTCCACTTTAGCTAGGTTTTCTGCTTTACTCAGAAAAACTTGAGGTCTCTGTTAGCAAATACCACATGTTAACAGTACTTCAAAACTCCTACTTGCAAAACCAGGAGAGCCTAGTTAAGCATTAAGTATTGCAAAACAGTGCTCTACATTTTTACCTTTTGTTATAGTCTATGACTGTTGAATTTATAACTTAAAAACTCTTTTAAAAATATCTGAAATGATGCTGATACATCATATCAAGTGCAATGGTATGTTTCAACCAGATTTTTTCTTTCTTGTTCAGTCAACTTGTTTTTCTTTGAATATTGCTCTTCTATAAATCTCATTAGCAAAGCAAAGACCTTATTTACTACAGCATACTTAACTTTCAGCTCTTAAAGGAGTAATACATTATATGTTCACTTATCATAGAATTTAACGAAGGCAACCAGAAGTCAGTTGTGCAAGACATGAATAATTTCATGAACAAGCTGCCACTGGCTATATTATACATCTATGTAGCTTATAAAACAAAGCAAATGATTACCATCAATTATAATACCATCATTTGACAACTCTGCAATTAATTTCCTACTCTTAAATAAAGGCTGTTGCACAGTGCCAAAGAAAATGCCATGCATTAACTGACTCATCACCAGAGTCTGTGATAGATAGTAGAGATGGTAATTTGATTATTCACATCCAAGAAAATAAGTGCTTTATTATGAAAACCTATTCATTTTGGTCTTCTGAAAGAATGGTAACAGGGATACCTAGAGTCTCTTTAAAAAGAATCCCTACAGTAATATACAGTTATTCTGAAGCATTTTTTTATTTGTTAAGATTTGTGGGGTAGAGTTGCATGCTAGATAGTTCACAGACATGGCACAAGCTGAAGAAGGTTGGGGTACTACAAAACCCATGCATCTCTTCTATGTAAAAATGCTCCTACATAAGAATAATGGAAAGATTCTGCTTTGTCTACCAGAAAGTCTGCAAACTTTACTATATGTTTTGAAAAAGTACTCCATGTACGAGACTAAAATATTTATCCAGCAAGATTAATGGGCCATCTGCAATACCTATCAGGATCATTAAATTACAGTCTTTCCTGGGACAATTACAGACATGTATTTAAAATACAAAGCAAGTACCAATTCTGCCAGGGTTTACTTGTGGAGTTAACTTTATTTCCTGAGCAGACCAACAGACTTCTGCGGAACCATCTCTAAAATTAAGTATCACCTTACTTTTACATGAATCAAAGGCAGAATGGTACTTAATGTAAAGTGTTACACACCAGCGAGTAGCAAAAGTAGCACTTTTATAAGAACTTGAAGCACTTTGAGTATTACTTTGTGGTTAATCTTGTATTTGCACTTAACTGGGATATAAAGGACCCATCAAAAGGTACTTGATTACTTTGGAAGTAGTGCATATGAGAATATAGCATGTCTATGCATACAATAAATAAAACAGTTTCATTTTTAGACCTGAGTCATGCAATTAGCAGTGCATGGGCAAAAAAAAAAAAAGTAATTCCCCGATTTTCAGAATGGATAAAGGGAAACAATTTTTATGAGTACAAATTAGTTTGCAAATACCTTCAGGCAGAAATGGAAAGTGAGTAATTCACACTGGTTCATTTGTAAGTCCAAATACGTTGACATACCTCCCCAGAGAAAGCCTGTCCATTGAGTAGGTGCTCTGATCCCTGGCTGTCTTCACTTCCAAAGTGTAACCGGATTTCCTCTAAGCGGTGACTATATGTCATCGGTCCTCCAGAGATGTTGACCAAATGCTCTTTGTCTAATCGTAGAGATACATGTCTCCCTGTGTTATACATCGTCCCACTGACCTAAACAAAATGGGGGGGAAAGAAAGCATTTTTTGAAAATAGCCTGTAAATCCTAGAAACTGGTTATACGTACTTCAAGATTTTGCTATTTACACACCTTCATTTAAATGTAGCAATACATCTTATTGTTGTGAGATGAAATACACAACCTGAGGTTATCCTTCAACTTCTGCTTTGAATCTTATACTGTATATTCAAATATTTTTCTAAATCCATATGTACATATTTTAGCCAGGGGCACATGGTTAACACAGTGAATAGGATTATTACACTTCTAAATAAGTAGGCTTTTAGAATATTTTTTTATGCAAGGGCTGAATAATGGCTTCATTACAAAACTTCTGCACTGAAAATGGGAACATTTTAGCTGACATAAATTATTTAAGTACACTTGAACAAATCTGAAATTTAAGTCATTTTTTCCTTCTTTTAATATTTATAACAAAGTTATCCAAAAGTAAAGGTGCTGCAAAAAGCAGAGATATAATTATTTATAAATTGGGAGCCCTACTCCTACTGGAGCTGCAGGTGAAAACTTTCATTGTCGTCCTCTGCAAGTCTCTCTGTTTTGTTATGAATATTTTATGTTTATAATTGCCAGACATTTTAGCCATAGCGGTACAGAATTAATTACAATTTGGTCATATATCTCTAGTTCCTCCTACACCTTATTAGCTGTAATGCTCTTCAAGATTCATCCTTATTTTTAAAAAGACTGAATGTTGTGCTTCATTTGCAAACTGATTTAGAGCTGCTGTAATGAAAAAGAAAATTATTGTGGAAATTTTTCACAGAATCATACAATGGGTTGGGTTGGAAGGGACCTTAAAGACCAGCTAGTTCCCCCCGCCCCTTCCATGGGCAGGGACACCTTCCACTAGACCAGGTTGCCCAAAGCCCCATCCAACCTGGCCTCCAACATTTCCAGGGATGGGGCATCCACAACCTCTCTGGGCAACCTGTTCCAGTGCCTCACCACCCTCATCACAAAGAACTTCTTCCTTCCATCTAATCTAAATCTACCCTCTTTCAGTTTAAAACCATTACCCCTCATCCTATCACTACACCCCCTATTAAAAAGTTCCTCCCCATTTTTCCTGTAGTCCCCCTTTAAGTACTGGAAGGCTGCTATAAGGTCTCCCTGGAGCCTTCTCTTCTCCAGGCTAAACAACCTCAACTCTCTCAGCCTGTCTTCGTAGGGGAGGTGCTCCAGCCCTCTGATCATCTTTGTGGCCCTCCTCTGGGCTCGCTCCAACAGGTCCGTGTCTTTCTCATGTTGGGGGCCTCAGAGCTGAACGCAGTACTCCAGGTGGGGTCTCATGAGAGCAGAGTAGAGGGGCAGAATCCCCTCCCTCGACCTGCTGGTCATGCTTCTTTTGATGCAGCCCAGGATACGGTTGCCTTTCTGGGCTGCAAACGCACATTGCCGGGTCATGTTGAGCTTCTCATCAACCAACACCCCCAAGTCCTTCTCCTCAGGGCTGTTCCCAATCCATTGTCCGCCCAGCCTGTATTTGTGCTTGGGATTGCCCCGACCCATGTGCAGGACCTCACACTTGGCCTTGTTGAACTTCAGGAGGTTCGCCCAGGCCCACCTCTCAAGCCTGTCAAGGTCCCTCTGGATGGCACCCCTTCCCTCCAGCGTGTCGACTGCACCACACAGCTTGGTGTCGTTGGCAAACAGCGCTGGTCCCAGTACTGACCCCTAAAGAACACCACTTGCCACTGGTCTCCATTTGGACATTGAACTGTTGACTGCAACTCTTTGAGTGTGACCATCCATCCTTAGAGACAAGGATGTCATGCAGGACAGTGTCATGTAATTCTGTCATAATTTCCACTGTCAAAGGAAAAGTTCCTACAGCAAGAGGTTCCTTAATTTATGCCATTAGAAAGTGAAATATGCCAGTTTGAGTTAAAGTAGAATTGTGATTTATTTAAAAACATTCTGCATGGATACAAATGGTACACTTGAATAACATTCATTTACTTTAAGATGAGGAAGTGTAGCAATAATATGCTTTGTTGCACTTCAATTTAAAATTAAAGACATGACTATTATGTATTATATCCTATACTACATCAGTACTATAGTAATTAACATTGCTGCAGTGTCATTTTATCTGTAATACTAATTACTGAGTTTAAATGACCTGTTTTCTTGCACAGTATGTTGTAAAAAGTTACACTGAACAGACTGTGCGATAGAACTAAATGGATGAGATTAAACAGCTTTTGGTTGTTGTGGCTTTTTAAACTTTGATACAGATGTTCTATTCTTTGTGTTTATTCCAATTCAAATAAGCAGTAATAAATTTCTTATGAAAAGTAATAAATACAAATGTTCCTATTCTTTGCAAATAAAACACAATGATCTTATTTATAAATGCTCCTTAGTTTTTCTGCTTGACTTTGCATGCATAATAATTAAATACCAAGTTTAGTTTAATAGGTGGAAGAAGGTCAGTTTATTGAATTTGGTTTCAGTACACTGCAAATGAATGACATAAAATTGCTGATCATAAGTAACAAATGTAGTTTAAAAACAAATAGGGGAACATGGTTTAAAGCCTCTTACATTCGGAAGCTCACTTCACTGAACACTCAGTTAAATTTAGCAACTATGCAAAATATTCAGAATGCATTTTCTTACTTAAATTGGTACAAATCTCAAATTAGGTTACCACTATTTTCTTTCTCAAGGTAAAAGTGACCCAAATAACCCCTAATATGAATCAAATAACTCTCTGTAGAGCAGAAAGGGGAAACGATAGAGGCAAATTCATGAACAAGAGTAACATTTGTCTTTCTCATTTCTCCCTTCATAAAAATGCAGCGCTTGTAGAGATTGTATTGACTGTTTTAAAACAGAATTTCCCTACGTAACTGCAGATGAAGAATACCAGTAATGCAGTGAAGTATCTGACATGCCTCATTTCTGACCTGCAGGGAGGGATGAACACTTGAAGTGAGACTATAAAATCTGCTGCATGGGCACACAGACTTGTCACCAGGAAGGACAAAATCCAGCATCTTCAGTATAAAAAATGCAAGGTCTTGCCCTGTTATCTGCCTTCTTATGTTTAAGTGAAGCACTAGTTTTCTTGTTGTATGCGCCCAAGGGAAGAGTAGCTGCATATAGCAGTCTAGATTCAGGACCACAGTGCACCTTCAGGACATGCTCATGCCCAATTCTTTTCTTGAGAGTGTCAACATATACCGCCATTACTAGCAACTTCTAATGGGCGCTTCTTTCATGGGCATTTACTTACTACAAGAAGAATAGGAGTGTCTTATATTTGCCATCTACTCAGATTATATCTGAATGAAAGATTGAAATTTTTAGCCCCCCCCCCCCCCTTTTTTTTTTTTTTTTTTTTTTTTTCTGCTGGAGACTTTCTGACTTGACAAGATTGTATAGTAGGCTGTGCTTGATTATGGGAAGTACCACTGTAATGCTATGTGAAATTCTTTATTGTGGTTCAGGATATTGTCTGTTTTATGTACAAACCTGGTATCTTATCAACTTTAAAAGTGTACATTTCAAGTATAACCATTTACAGTTGTTAGGACATAGTATCACATAAGTGTAATCACCTTCTGTTTGCAAGCTCGAAGTCCACAAATGCATTGTACTCGGTAGGAAAGTGTCATGCAAAAAAAATGCAATAAAAAAAAAGAAGTTTGTCTTCCATAGTTTTTGGCAGAAAACAATGCATTGTCTTTTCACTATGTGCAGTTTTAACTGCTACTGGAGAAAAGGAGGTTCTGATCTTGTTCACTATGTGAACCTACTGATAAAAGAAGGATTCTCCATATTTTATGGTACTGAGCCTTTAAAAGTGATGGTGCACTCTTATTTTAGAACATCAAACTGAGCTGGTTTTGTGGAAAGCAAAGTTGCATGTGGTCTTGTAAAAGGTCGCAGGCAGAGAAGTTAACGAGGAGGTATTTTCTGTATTTTGTACATTCTACAAGATAAACAGTATGAAGACGGGGCGCCTTATGGGAAAGATGTTGACTCTGCCTGGTACAGTCAGCAATATCTGCTACTGCAGAAAGCATGGTATTTATGTTTTATACCACTCTGTGGATTGGATAAAATGTTATACGGTAGTTTAAAAGGATAACATAAAAGACCTGTTAAGATTTATACAACTACTTCCTTAATGTGTCAGACTAATCTTTGGTGCTAAGTCCTTCATAGTGATGGCCTTTGCATTGCTTCTTGCTCTGCTATTAAGTAACCCTTTTGTTCTGTGTTTCTGTTTGACTTGAAAGGTATGTAAAGATGAAAACACAGCAGACAAGGAAAAAAAGAGCACTAAATCATGCCCTCCTGTTTTTCAGAAGGATCAATATTCACATTTGTCTTATGCACTAGAAATGAGACTGAGGTAAAGAAAACATATATTTAAAACATCAGTAAAACCCTGTCTGACAAGACAATGAAGTCCAACATTGTCAAAGTTAATGATCATACCACATTCTTAGCTGACCCTATTTTCCTCATACATTACAAAATATTTCCAAACAGGTAATTTTACCTGTGACAAAATCCCCAAGTAGAACAGAGCATGTTGATGGGCTTTAACCTTAATTATGGAATAGTTCAACTTTGGTAGACTTTAATTAAATTATTAACATATTCCTGATGTAGTTATTTTCTATTTAATCTCATTACTTTTAATTCTTGCTTCACAGAGCTTTGTGCACATAATTCCCCAGCAGCATTATTCTCTCTATCTTCATGCAAGACAGCCACACAGGCACAGGCTGCTAATATATTCTATACTACATTTCTAAGTAAGATCTGAATACTCCTGTGGTATCTGTGTATCACTTGCTGGTCCTGTGATCACAAAAAAGTCCCAATTTTGCCCTTTGAAAGGTGGAACACAAGCAAAGTCAATAAAAATGCATACCTAATAAACACAAACTCTTTGATGCATGTTTATCTTGAAACTCTACAGGCCTTTATGACCATTAGGGAAAAAAAA